TGGTAAAGAAAGTTCAATCAAAGGTAAGATATTTTATATTATACTCTCCTAGCGATAGTTCATTCCGGTTATATACTGACATGAGTCTCGATTGTTTGAGCAGGAATTTGATGCAGCAGTTGGTGACATCGCGATATTATCAAATCGATGTGAATATGTAGAATTCAAGCACGCTCATACCGAGACAGGACTAGTAATGGTAGTGCCAGTTCTATGGCATTCAAGCAGAGCTTGGCTGTTTGTGAAGCCCTTCACAAAAGCCACGTGGTTTCTCACATTTTTCATCAATGTCTTCAATGGATTCATCGTATGGAGTATTGAGCGAAATTACTGCTCTGAACTAAGAGGACCAGTTCTGAACCAAATAGGCACTCTACTTTGGTTGGCTTTTGCAACACTGTTCTCATTACACGGTAACGTAGACACAAAGATGATCGCACTAGTTTTAAAATGAAATTTTGTTAATTTTTTATGGCTTAATTTGTCAACAGTTGAGAAATTACATAGCGATTTGTCGCGTATGACGACAGTGGTATGGCTTTTTGTTGCTCTGATCATCAGACAAAGCTATACAGCCAGCCTTTCGAGTGTGCTCACAACGAAAAATCTTAAACAGAAAATAGCAAATATTGAGACACTAAAGAGCAATAACGTGGTGATTGGCTACTCGTGGAGGTCTTTCGTTAGGGGATATTTGGAGGGTCCTTTAGGCTTTAAATCAAGCAACATCAGGAATTTCACGTCAACAGATGAGTATGTACAGGCTCTCTGAAGTGGTGCTATTGCAGCAGCCTTTCTTGAAGCTCCTGTGGCTAAACTTTTTGTCGTCAAATATTGCAAGAGCTTCATCATTTTTGGTCCTACATACCAAGTTGGAGGATATGGATTTGTAATTTCTCTTTCCCTTATGAATCCCTTGTCTAAAACTTTAAGCCACTGAAAAGGGTACACAAACTTTCACATGTAGGTCAATTTTAATTTTTGTCGATAATCTGACACGTGCACAATT